TTCATCGGGTTTAGGTTTTAGACCCAGCTAGGTGTGGATTATATAGATTATGTGATCCAAGCTTTCGGTTTGTGCTTTCGGAATCCAAGGGTATAATGGTCAAAAGTGATACTTCATATCTTTTCTTGAATTTAGGATTCTAATTCGGAAGGTTTTAATTCAAAGGACATTAGTGGGGATTGTAGGGTTTTCATTACCCTTTCGAGCATATAAAGAACGCCAAAAATAGAGTTAGGACGAGTAAGTTTGGCCATTGGAAGTTTGAATGGGAAAGGGCTTGGCCAATTAAGTTGGGCATACAAGATATACGTTGGGCGTACTTGGGTTAGTTGATTACGAAGCTACTCCCTAGTACGTTGGGCGTATCTGGAGTACATTTGGCGTACACGAGACAGGGTCAAACCTTAATGGGTATACATCTTCCATGAATCAGATAGTGGCCTTTTGGTTAAGTTATGAATTTAGGGATTTGGTTTGGACTCCAGTAAGCCAAGAAAAGTCATAAAGTCAGAAACTTTATGACTTTAAACATCCCTTTAAGATTAAATCTACGATTTTGGCGAATTGGTCTCTAAGCATTAAGACCTTAAAGTCGTTTTGGCTTCAGTTGGCATACGTTGGGCGTACCTGTCTAGTATGTTGCGTATAACGGTTTTTGAGCCAATTCTCTTTCTTCGATTGAGTAGTATGTTGGGCATACTGGATTGGTACAAGGGGCGTACTCACCAAAAGGTCTTTTGGGCCATTTTGGGCCTTAAGTCATTTGGGTTTTGGGCCGTGAATTGTTGGGTCAAATATTGGAAGAGTAAAATAGTCTTTTTCCCCTTAGCATGATAGAATATGATTGGGCCCTTGATTGTGGGTTATCACCTTAATTATTGATTAGGATTGATCTAGGATATGTTTAGTTACAGAAGCCGTGGTGGAAGCAGCTCGAGTGTGAGATTTATTGACATTGGATTGAGGTGAGTCTCTTCATTGTACTCATGGGTTGAAGGCACCAATGCCGACTCAGTGGATTATATCTGTAGGATGATGGTTGTCTTTGTGACACTTTCTAATATGTTTGTATGTGTTTGTTGTCTTTGTGACTCATGCTTATATGTTTGTATGTTTATGTACGTAGGGTGAAATGGACCCGAGGGTTGATACGGACCTGACACAGCTACAAGTTGTTATATATAGCCATTATAGAGTCAGGGTTGATACGGACCCAACAAAGCTACAAGCTATTACATAGAGTCATTATGGACTCAAGTTTCATACGGACCCGACACAACTAAGTGATGTTATATTTATATGCATGTTGTATGTGTTATTTTTGGGAACTCACTAAGCTTTGTGTTTACAGATTTATGGTTATGGTTTCAGGTACTTCTAGTTCAGAAGGGAAGGGTTCGGCGTGACCATGGTTCAATGTGCGCCTTACCGCGTTATGACACAAGTTTTTTTCAAGACGTGAGTTTTTTTTCTTTTGTTTTTTTTTATCGGGCCTAAAATAAATGAGTTTTTATTAACTTTTTTCTATTAGATATTAATATAACACTTCTAAAAACTTCATATATTTGATAAAATTCAATAATTATATGATTTATATCTTTTAATGTATATAATATAGTCACGCCTTGAAAAACATCATGGCTCGTCAAGGCTTATCATGACTTAACTTTTACCTTGCAACCAAGCCACATCTTACGTTATTTAGAACATTGGGCGTGATTGTACAACATCACCCAGAGTTTTATTCCGCACTAGTTGTTTATGACTTTTACTCGGATATTTAAATATTATTTTTCACCTTCAATGATTTTGAGAATAAATTGTTGTATGGATTAATGTTTTAAAAATAAAAATTTCTCTATAGATTTTCGAGACCTTACACCTTGATAGATTTGTTAATTTCTCATCCCTCCCTAATCGTTCATGGTTTCCCTTTCAAATCTTGCTGCTGAAGCAAACAAGAGATAACTGCCCATCGAGATTGACCGAATGTTTTTGATCAAGAGGTCCCCGTCTTCCACACATTAAAATTTGACAAATGAAAACTTTTTTATTAACTTGTTAGTTTTTTTTTTTAACATCAGTGACCACCCCATATTGTTCACACACTTCCCATAGATCTTTTTCTACTGAGTTATTATGAAAATTTGTTGCATAAAGGGACGTGTACAATATTTCAACCTTTCTTGACACTAGGGTTAACGTTGTATCGCTTAAAGTTCCATTGCCAATCTACATGTTGCTCTCCGTTGTCCCCCCATTGCATTCTACATGAGATTCCATACCGATTACACCCAATTACCCTCCTTCATTGTCCGAGTCATAATAGTAATAATAATAATAACAATAATAATTTGTTAATCTCCTATGTCAATTTCATTGATTATTGGTTAATAAGATTTTAAACGAGAATTATTCATTATTAAAATTTATTGTTAATATGAGTTTTCGTCTATGAAATTATCCTGATTATGTTATTATCAATAAACGTTGAAGTTTTTAATTAATGGTTGAAAATCAGGTTGTCATCATAGTTTGATTTGAGAGAAAAAAAAGTCAATGACTATGAGTTTGCAATGAGAAACAAATCGAAAAGCCAAAAGTATGGGATTAAGAGAAACTCCAAAACACGCGGCTGCCGATTGATGTTAAAATATATAAATAAATATATTTAAATACTTCAATTCTATCTGTTTTTGTCGTTAATAGAAATATTAGTTATTGTTTAATAGGTAAATACATAAATAATCCACTTGAAATGGTTGATGTGGTAGTTTTAGGTTGGAATATAAGGGGCACTAGAATCTAGTACAACACAATCAATTAAAGAAGATACATTTGATTTATTTATTTAAAAGAAGTAGATATGCGTTATGTATTTGGGAAAATCTTAAAAATTGTCATATTTGGATGAAGTATTCAAGAATATAATTATTTATTATTGAGAAATATTCAGCTACGACTCTATATTACTATCTTCATATGATTTAGCTATGATTCTATTTTTGAAGAAATAGCCCAACATAGTTTGTTATTGTATTCAGTTTTGGAAAATATGTAGGTTACCTCATTTCCAACCAATCATCGATATTATGTGATACCATATTTATCGATGTGGATATAGATGTTAAGTGTTAGTGTTTTAATCGGGTTCAATCCATTGAACGAGGGTTTTTACGGAGACCAAAATACTTCGATGGCTGCCCACAAAGAAGGTAAATCCCACAAATATACCATTTTGGCTAGTTTTTACAATTTAGAATTGTTACATTCCTTTGATTTTAAGTTGCAATGATTATTTATTAAAGAAACATCCCAAGAAAAAGGATATCGTATTATGTTTACTATGAGTATGGGGACGGATACTTAGAGGGTGTTCTAATAGATGTTGAAGTGCAATATGATTTCAAACCACATGCCAAGGACATATGTAAGGATGATTTCATAAACACTTTATAAGATGAAGATGTCAACATCATTTTTGATGGTGTTGATTCTAAGAGGACTACTATGGTTCTTATGAGGAACTTGATGGAGCAGAAGAAGACAATAAGAATGATGTGGAAGATGGGCTGAAGTAAAATACACCATGATCCAACGATCAAATGGAATAAGATGAAACCAATTGTTGGTGATAGGTATAAAGGGTTGATACTATAAAAGTAGTAAGTTTTACACATCGATTCTAAATTAGCCCTAAATGGATTTTTTGTTTCTTATGTGTCGACTTTTTCCTCAAGCCCTGTTAGCTGGTTTCCCCGGTTTAATCCAGTTACCCTTTTACAAATAGGTTTTTACCGTTGAAACCCATCTTCCACCTCCTACTTCTTTATTTTCCAACATCTTCTTCCACGCAACAACTTCTTTGTGGCTAGTTCATCTACATGGTCAATAACTTCATGATTGCACAGTGTTAATGTCAATTTCAGGAACAGAAATAACCCCATGGTTTTGTGTCGTTGTGGTGTTGAGGCTAGCTTCTCAATTTCCAAGACGGATAAGAATCCTAGAAGGAAATTTAGGGGATGCACCAACTTCAAGTTATGTTCTTCACTCTTTGATCCAGTATAAAGTTTTGTTATAGGACTAAGGAAAAATCCATCATAAAATGTGCAAGATCCTTTCAGGTATCGTAAGTTTTTCATGTGGCTGGACCCACCTTTACCTAGTGAAGATTACAAAAACCTGATGTACCAAATGCATTCAGCTCTGGTTGGTATGGCTGATGGCAATGCTTAGTTGGAACAAGTGAATGTAGATCAAAATAGGAGGTTGATGTTGATGATGAAGCTTCTGTTCATCATGGTTATGCTATTTGATTTTTGTAACATGAATTGTATTGTTGGTGAAAGTGTAGGAAGTTAAGTTTAGTCTTTTGTGAAGTTGTTGGTTAGGTGAAAGTTATATTAGATGCTTATTTTGGGAATTAGGTATTACAATCCTATGGGACAGTTGTAATAGCATCTGAAAAACATTTTGAAGGTTGTAATATGGGTACCCTTGTAATATATAGTCATATGGGACAATTAATATGAAAAGCATTAACCAGAAATTGACAATGTACTATCATTACAAATTGACATTGAACTTACTGCAAACTATAATCTTTATAAACATAATAGGTAAATACATACATGGAGGGTAATAATATGAACCAAACTTCCAATTTTACAACAATGTTTGCAAGCCAAAAGATGATTTCCCAAAATGACAATGTACTTGCTACAAATCACAGTTAAAAGATAACATGTTGTCAACAAACTGGAAGGTTGTTACCAAAAGATGCTTTAAAATAAGGGCTATCAAAAGATTTTTGTCCAATTAATCCCCCATCCATAACAACATCAGTCTAGTGTAATTGCTTTTTCAGTTGTTAAACCACCTCCATCTGGATCATGCACATCTTTTTTCAGCTTTATCTTGATAATTCTTTCTGAGGGCTTCCTTTTTCTTACCAATGGATCTTGTGTTTCTTGAATGGTCTCTTCATCAACTATACTCTATACCAACATCTCCTTCCTCTCTTTTGTCAACTGTGAATAAGAAATTAACATATTATCACATAATGTTCAAGAAAATTGTGTTAATAACTAAATTTATAACTACACACCTTATTAAAAGCTTCAGCAATCTCCCCATGATCATATCCGGATGCTTGTAAATCTTTAATAGTTTCAAAATATTCCTGGTCAAACTTTTCATGGCAGGTAAGTACAACTTCATCAACACCTGCCACAATTTGACTTAAACTACCATGTACAACCCCTTTTCTACCTACATATTTGATTTTACCTCCCCTCCTTGACATCAACTTCATTCTCTTTAAAGGATTAATTGGCTGATCAACATCTATCATCTTACCTTCTTCTTTTGATGTTCCCTCAAAATCTTTCATCTTTCCCTCTGTTGGTTCTTTTGATGTGCCCTCAACAACTCTCATCTTTCCCTCACTTGCTTCTTTTGATGTGATGTCAACAACTTTCATCTTTCCCTCACTTGCTTCCTTTGATGTGCCCTCAACAACTTTCTTATTTCCCTCACCTACTTTCATTGGTGTCTTTTCAATGTTCACAACTGAATTCCCTCCCCCATCTCCCTTTGCTCTTCCACTTTTCCTTTTAGGGATAAGGTCACTTGGACCTTCTCCGTTCTTACAAGAGATCTTATTATGAACAAGTTCCCAACATTTACCATACCTAATAACCCTACTAACCTTTTCCTTTTGAGTTGGGAACTTAGAATCCTGAGCTTCTGAGGCATGTCTTCTTCTCTTTGTTTTTGGCCTTCCGGGAAGTCTCCTGAGAAGGGGTGGTAAGGGCTTCAAATATTCAGTATAGGGCCACATATTACTTCCATTAATGGATAAGATGTTGTCTCTGTATGTCTCTATGAACTTGTCCTTATGGAACCAAAAGGATATAAAATGAGTTGGATCTCTATGTGTGAAATTGATTGCAGCTTGAGCATGGACACTTGGTAACCCTTATATTTCCCATAATATGCATGAACAAGAATAAGCATCTAAATCCACCTTGTAAGCTGAATATCCATGCCTTATCTCAAATATTTCCTAACCACTTGGTATTACTATCCAGAATCTAAAACAGTTAGTGTAAGTAATTAGTAATGCACATGTATAGACTTAAGATCAAAATTAAAATAAAATAAGCATACCCCATATGCTTTCCAAACTCCTTAATCTTCTCTAAGGTGTTTGGGCCATAGTCACCTTTCCATTGAGAAACTATAGCAGCTTGATGATAAACTTATTCATCAAATAAATCCTGATTTCCTCAAGCATTGTTAGATATGGTTTTTTTTCATGTGAATGATCATTGAATTAAAACATATTGATATGCCATTTTCTACAGCCTCACAAGCATATCCATGAGAGAAAAATGTCCTACACCAAGAATGTGGCTTGTTTGACATCAGCCATTCATAGACACTAGGAGTTATGTGTTTGTTTTCCTTCATTGTTTCTGTAATATCCCCCTCGACAATACTTTTGGTAGCTTCCCAAAATAGGTTCTTAAGCTCTAATCCAGTGTATTTGTTCTTGAAGTTTGCATAGATATGCCTGGCACATTGTCTATGCTCAACATATGGAAGTAGTTTTGTAACAACTTGTAGTAGACCCTGACATTTAATAAACAAAATTATTATAAATGTATAATAATTAAACGTAATTTACAATATAATTTACCTCGGGCTAATAGGAAATAACCACAAGACCCCTACCACAATCATGGTCAAGATTAGCAACTAACATCTCAATAAACCAAATCCAATTATCTTTGTTCTCTAGATCAATCACTACCCATGCTATTGGATATACATGATTGTTTGCATAGTTCTCCCTTAATCTGACCCTTTAGGAAACAATCATGCAAACATATCACACGTCTGTAACCCCTATTCCAACCATCCTTAAAAGCCTTTAAGCACACATAAAACCTTTTGAAATAGTTCATGCCACTTGCATTAGAATCTACTCCAACCTTACTAGTGCTCCATGGGTTAGACCTGAGGATTTCTGTAGCATAGTCCCATACCTTTGCATAATGATCTTATAACTTACATTTTATCATCTCTCTTGCCTTTGTCCTAGCCTTGTGACATTTACCCTTAGATACATCTACTAAAAACATCCTAAGTACATATTCCTTCATCTCAGTTAATGTCATCTTTGGCTTCATAATAATATCATTCAAGTAATGCTTGGATAACAAGTTGCAACTAACCAAAGTTCCAAAATTAAAATTTCTAGCACATAGATGTATGTCACATATAGATTTAATCTAAAATGTTTACTCATTATACTTCCAAGCAGCATAAACTCTAAAGGGACATGGGTCTCTTTTATATATTTTCCCACACCTAGAAATCACTATATGTCTATCATTGTTCATAAACCTTAACTGATATCCATTAGCTACTCCATATTTAGTTAATGCATACCTGAGTTGAGAAGGGGGCTTGTAACACTCTCCCACTATAGGATATATTTGTTTCCAATGGATGTCTAGATCATGAACCATGTACTCTACACCCACTTCACCATCATTTTGATCATCAATATTATTATGTTCTGGATTCTTAACACTAGGTTCCTGATCATCATCTCCCATTCCATCAAGAGTCCTCCTTAGCATATTTTCATCACATAATATGTTAAGGAATGGGTCATCAGAATGGTTTGAGGTTGGTTTAAAGGTCTCTGGTGCAAAATCTGGGAAAGAAAAATCTATGAGATCATCATCAGAGTCCTTGTCCCTTACATAAACCATTTTAGGACCTTTCACCTTTTTAGTTCCAGATGACCAATCCATCTGTTCAAGATGAAAAATTAAACATCTAAGTGACACTATGGAACTCGATTATGGAAGATAAGAACACACATACACATCAATTTCTTATTGGCACTCCATGTACCTTTCTACTTCAGTGTCTTTAAACTTCAAAATAGAAGCTTTTTGCATGCAACAATGGTGTAAGAAAATCTTTTCAAACCCTTATTCTTCCTAAGACCAACTATATGAAACCCTTTTTGATGCAAGACATTTCTGTTAAAGGTGATATTTGGTGGTGTACGAATGATCGAGTAGTATAGGAGAGTGGTGACTGACCGTGTACCTTCACTTGTTGTTAACCGGTTGATAATATGATTTTGAAAGAGGTTCATAATTATTTAGGCTAATTAGAAACAAAAAATCCATTCAGGACTAATTTAGAATCGGGGTGTAAAACTTATGGCTTTTATGGTATTAACCCTAGGTATAAATCACCACATCAAACTAAAAACTTGTTTGAGTAACAGTGAGTATAATACAAGGTTTGTAAAGAGTTTTTGTGTTCTTTTAGTGGTTAGATATAAGTAAAACAACAAAATGTAGTGTCTATATAAAGTAAGACGTAGGGAAATGAGTCTTAATGATTTGATTAGAAAACCTAACATGAAATCAAAGGAGATGCAAACATTAATTAAAAGAAAGTTTCATTTTGAAGTATTTTGGTGTAAGTGTTATAAAGAGAGGTATAGGGTATTGAGTCTTATTGAATGTAAACTCACATACCACTATGAGAAGGTATCACACACTGTTATGACAAGGTATTGGATTATTCTCATGAGTTTATATGTTCCGATGCTGATAGCATAGTAGAAGTAAATGTCACTACCAACCCAGATGAAACCGCATAATTTCACAGAATTTACGTTAGTTTTAAGGCTATATGCCAAAATGGTCCTAAACGTTAGTATTTATTATCAAATAGTCAAAATAACTAGTATTATATTACAGGTTATTGTGCTGACTACAAACCAAGTACCGAACAACTTCAAGATTGTTCGATTGAGTTTCACTAACTCACTTATTATGTTAATTATATCTATATATGTATGTTGATCATAATTGACCTATAAGGTAAAGTGATCAAGGTTTATGCGTTGATGATGAGTGGCCCTATATTGGAAAGTGATCACAGTTGGCATAAAGTGATCCTATAAGGTAAAGTTATCACAATTATCACAAACTGATCCTATAAAGTAAAGTGGTAGTATAGGGTTGGTACCAACAATATATGATTTAGATTAAAGTAACAAGTAATTATTTGTTATGTGATATATGCTTAATATAAGTGGTGAGTATTGTGTTTAATATGCATTGAAAACTTTCTTTAAATGAATTTTGCTACTTACTCTAAATCACATGTTTTATGTAGTTAGGAAAGAATAGTGTTGCCTTATTATCAAGTTTGAAATTAGGACCAAAACTAATGTTTTATCTTTTGTTGTAAAAAGAATTAGGGTGTTACAAGTTGGTATCAGAGCTTTAGTTTAAGGGATTCAAAGATACATCTCTGTGTGTGTGTTTGAACTTAAACTGAAGTGCAAGTTCTTAAAGATAATGTATTTAAAAGTCAAATTTTAAGAAATAAATAATGTCGGACAAGCAGTTAGCCGGAGTTCAACAAAGATAAGTCTTAATTATCTATAAATTATATTTGGGTATTTAGGTAGTGTTATTGTAAGGAAAAATATTATACCATTGATATATTATTTCAAAGAATACTATAGAATGAGACAGTAGAAACTATATGTAAAATTACTTTAGGTAGTAACAAAAAATATAAGTGTACCTACTAAATATAAATGGATACTAGTATGTAGGTCAAGCATCATTTTAGGAAATGCGTGATATCTAAATTGTCTTGAAGCCATAGGAATTTCTTGTCGTATTCTATTTGAAATCTACGTATATATTAATTAAGTATTAGTCTAATGCATTCGGATTACATGCCTTTAGAACTGTATAGTTTCAGAGTGCTTGATTTAGCCCTATAGTGCAGCTCTCATCAGAGTCTAATAGTTTTAGTGCATGATTTATCAGTTGAAGAAATCTATAAATTCTAGTTACGTGTAGTTAAGTTTTCGTAACATAGTTAACTGATATTAATAGAAGTTTCTTCATTAGCACGATAAAAGTGTTCATGGGAAATCTTTGGAATACCGAAGGAGATCGATAGTAATTATACATGTCCACTAAAATACAAAGGACATAATGCATATTGATACGTGAATATATGGATTGTATATTTTTAGAGGTGCGACATAGAGGCTTTATGGAAAATCCTAGTGTGGACTACTAAAACACAAGATATATACACGTGACAGGGAGGGTCATGAGGATTTAAGGAGTTATGTGAAGGAAATAGTGGATAAGAAACATTGTGTGAAGGTTATAACCTTTGTCAACTACACAATGTGGACAAAAGAGTTATGGGGTTGGACTAACTAACACAGAGATACGTGAATTATGACTATTAAGGTCATGAGGTCCATTCAGGAGGAGTTCCCTGACATGTTTCAAACGATGAATGATGAAATGATCGTCATGATGAGGATTGAGGATTGAAAGTTTGCGTGCTCCTTCAAAGATTAGCTACTCGAAGAGATTGTTCGAGTAGTTCATAGGAAGGAACTGCATTTGTGGACACAACTAAGGAAGAGGAAGCAGACATATGATCCATTTCTATTAATTACAACCAAAGAATTTGATGTCTCTGACATGTGTGTTGATGGTCAAGGGGAACACATCATATGTGGAAAATGTGTAGGAATCCATGGGTATGCATACTACAAGTTTAAATGTTTCAGTTGTGGAAAAAGGGGCATGCCTTGTGAGACTGCACCAATTGACATTTGTTTTAAGGCACTTGAACAGGGTTGGAAAAAAGACTTTTAAAGGGTAATAATTCGAGATGGTTTATTCTTAAAGGGGAAATACTTACTACAATAGGAAAAGATATCAACAATAAAGTATATTCTATTGCATAGGTTGTTATGGATATTAAGAACGAGGTTGATCGGAAATGATTTCTAGACATGGCTGATGATGGCATGGTAGTTGAGGATTAAATATCATTTTTTTATCAACATATGGTATGTTATTGTTTTAAATGTCTATTTCAAATATTTTTCTCTCACTTACTATTTAATTGTTTTTTATATGTTCAGGATCGCTTGAAGGCACAAAGGAAATATTACTATCTATAGAACATAAACAACTTGCAAGACACATTTATATTCTAACTTTAAGAGAACTTAAAAAGTAAAAAATATATTACTTTTTAGCCAACGAAATATAAGGAAAGTTATAGTAGATGAAAAATAAAAAATCGTAGATATAAAGAACATTGAAGACGAAGTCCGTGTGAAAAATTTACAATTATTCCAACACAACAGCCATCGAAACACCAACTACCATATGCAAGGCAACTGTGATGCCATGTGGATGCAATACATTGGCCAATTTTCACCCCTATAGATAGCAATCCACCCCCCTTATTTGTTGTTAATTCAGTCTCTCTCAACCTTTGAGATTTTAGCCCCTTGGATTTATTTATTTTTTTATTCTTTATAATCTCTAGTGAAGTACTGGAGCATTGGAGAATCTTTTTAGAAAAATTCTAAACATCAAAATTACTCTTGTTGTTTTTTGAGTATTTAATCAATTAGGTAAGTTAAATTTTCACTTGAGTAACTTGATATAATATATACCCATATTTTTTGTTATGAAACTAAGTATAAGATTAGTTATTAATTCCAATTAAATTATCGATTGATCTACTTATAGGAGCGGTGTATAGGATGGACAAATTTGGCTTGGTGTGGATTTTGAAAAAGCTATACGCCAAAATGGTCCTACCTCCCAATAATCTAAACTGGCCAATCCTTATGTGATACTCAAACCATTATTAATGGGACAAATGAAGAATCGAAATTCTAGTTGTCATAATCAAAAAGTAAAAAATAACCAATATTATAATATAGGTTATTGCATGGTTGTTGTGCCGATTACAAACGAAGTATCGAGCAGCTTCAAGAATGTTGAAGTGTATTGCACTAACTCACTTGTTATGTTAACTATATCTGTATATGTGTTGATCATAAGTGACCATATAAGTGAAAGTGATCAATTTTTATATGTTGATCATGAGTGACTCTATATAGGAAGGTGATCATAGTTGTCAAAAAGTAACCCTATAATGGAAAGTGACAGTATAGAGTTAGTACCCATGATATGTGAGTAAGATTTATGTGATAAGTATTTATCTATTATGTGATGTATGTTTAATATAATAGGTGAGTATTGTGTCTACTCACTAATCTTTAAGCTTACTCGTTGTTTATAAATATTTTCAAAAATATCTGCGTGATCAAAAGGAAGAACATAGCCTGACTGCAACACTATATGTATTATGTTTAATATGTTTTTAAAACTTTATTTAAATGACTTTTGCTACCTACTCTAAATCAACTATTTAATGTATTTCAAAATAATGGTTTTATAAATATTGTTTTATTATTAAGTTTCATTGGGACCAAAATAAATGTTTTCTCTTTTGTTGTAATATGAATCATGGTGTCATAATTAGGTCACACAAGTTCAACGGATATAAATACTAGTTAGTACAACTAAAACTACAAATAAGGCCAAGCCCAAAACTTATTACAAAAAAATTCCCATGATGTAATTAATGTTCAATATTGTAAAGGAATTAGCGTATAAAAGTTTCTTCTAAGGACATTGCGCTTGGCCTTACAAGGGGCAGATCCTTCTTGATCCCCACCCACTCTTGGTTAGCCTATAAAATGTTGGGTCAAAAGGTCAATAAATCCCAAAAAACTAACAAAACATCTGTGTAACATCCCAATATTAAAAGATTATTTATGTATGTGAACTTTTTTGTATAAAGGGTAATTAGGTCCAAAACAATAGAAGTTATGAAATATATGCAACAATTTTGGTTAATACATTGTTATGTGCTG